TGTACCTCTTGATGTCCATAATGTACTATGTTTTTTTTTAAGTAAAAAATATCAAATAATGCCCATTAACGAATAAAAAAATAAGTAGCATTAAAATTACTTGCTAATAGAAAATTAATATCTCTATTGATAAAATACACCTGTTGCTTTTCCACAAAAAAGTTGACTACTAGTAGTAGTCGACTTCACTTTAAACAGAAGTTATAATACATCTGTTAACTTTTTTCGTTTAGATTAAAGCATTTAAAATGAAGTTCATATAGAGAACCTAGTCGACAACTGCTACCTTGTCGTGGTGGTCAGGCTTGAATACCACAGTGACCCAACAAGCTAAACTGGCTGGGACTCATGTCCCTGCAGGTTCTATCATGTCAGGAAGGTTGATTGGATGGTGGTTAGACTAAAAGCAGTTACCATGGGATATATGAGCTCCAGAATCCAATCGGATCAAATGGCGTATGAACCCATATGGGTCACCGTCAACCATGGGAATGCAGCTCCTGACGCTGCTCCGCTGCCTTGCGGATTAGACTCCAAGTCAAAGGCTCGTCCCTTAGTAAAACCGCCTGCTTCGGTCTGGGCGGCCGGGCAGTAACTCAGCCCTCACACAACAAATGAAATTTAGTGTGGCGTATCTTTCTCGGTGCCATATTGCATTTAAATAAATAAATAATAAATTGCGTTTAAATAAATAAAAATAATAAAATATCTTCAAAAAGATTTTAATGCATCGATTTGATAACGGGTGGTGAGCAATCGCACTATTTTAAGCCCTTTTGTACCTTCCACGGAACAAGTTTCTAGGAATATAATGAAGAAGCAATCGCCAATGATTCAGTTTCATTTACAGTGTAATTTTCTGTCAAGTTTAAATGTTTTGTGAATTTAAACACCGTATTACGAACGATTAAATCGTGCAAATATGCCAGCATATATATGTCACAAGCTCAAAACAGACTCAATTGGTAATACCTAACGGTCTAGTTTACATCATTGAGCTACCTGAATTTCCATTCAACAATACAATGCATATGATATCTGTCTGTCTGTCTGGATTCAACATAGAACTTGGCACCGAAGTGCAGCAGTTCGAGTTGCCACGTTCCAAATAGCACACAGAGGTAGACAAGAAGATGAGTGAAGAGAATTAATAGAGTTTGGCAAATATAAGAGTGAGACAGAATGGGTAATGGTAGAAAGGAATATGAAAGATTACAGAGATTGAATGCATATGATATGCATCTCATATTTTCTCTAATTTTTATCTTTTGTAACCATTCAGTTATGCCTGTGATTCGCACAACGTACTCATCATGCTCACAATTCTGATTAGCTTTCAAACTACGGGTGAGCATTTCTCGGAGATGAAGCAGAAATGTTATCAAGGGGTTACACATCTATGTCTATAATCGAACACAATACACTATAAACGGTTATTTTATTTGAATATCTTCGATGAAGAGATAATATAATGCAAAAAGCCATACTGAGAATTATTTCTATGCATCATGAAGACATTTTGTCCAGAATAAAGCAGTTATTTATGCATAAATATTGTGAACTGTGGTTGAGTCAGACTCGTGGATTAGGGGTAGTCAGATTGTCAGAATATAAGAATTTAGCTAAGGTTAGAATGGTTGACCCCGAAGAAGATGAGAAATTTAGCAAAAAAAGCTCAGCAATTGCGCTGCATGCATTAACACACAACCACACAATAGGGTGGGAGAGGGTTAAAATTCCAAGAAGCAATATAGGTAGGTGGAGAGAGAGGTTGATTGCTAAAACTTGGTTCATCCAGTCTATACCCAATACATGCAATAGGAATGACTCATCACTCATTCCGAAAATACGGAAAATACTATTACCAATCAAATCAAGCGATGGAAAATAATGGAATTATATAAACGAAGTTAGAAAGTTGTGGGAATGCCTTGATATCATAATGAGCAATAAATTGTGCCCGAAACGTCATCAGTAAACATTACTGTATAACAATGTGAGACTTTATCAAAATAAATTTTACCCCACAATGGACCTAAAGCTATTATTACTATCATGATTATTAAAATAGGTTGAAAGAAGAGACGGTGTCTCACTTCGAAAAAAATATCCTATAATTATCGGTGACAAGTACTTTGAAAAGCCTACTCTCTCTATTTTCAGTATCGATTTTCAAGTTGCCTGACACTATTTGTGTGTGGTGTTTTCTTGTATTGCGTGCCCTGATTTGTGCGTCGATGGCATAGCGGTTAGGACGATCGCCCACCATAGTCCGGGGTTCGATTCCCGGCCACAGACGCACTCCTTTACATCGCTAAACCAGAAATAATGCCGGTAAAGAGGAAAGGTTGGAGATGAGACTAGCGAACCCATCCTGTAAAAACAAACACTGCTACAGAAACTTCAAGCGACTAGCTTGAGGCCCTATGTTCCACTGGGGAATGTGAAGGAAAACAAATGCTCTGATTTCATTAACAACCAGTGAATTCTATTCATTCACTGAAACTTCAGATTGTCACTAATTTTTTTCTCCTAACATTTTTTGGGCGGTGGCAGCGTCGAGCGCCACAATAATCACAATACTTAACACAAAATTGCTGAAGCAAAATAGATTAAGTGGCATAAACAATCTCATTAAGGATTACTACACAAACGTGACAAAATTGCTGACTATACTACATATTACATCACCCAGTTGAATTTGACATGCCTAAAAATAAAGGGATTACATGGATTGTGCAACAGATGAACACATTTTATGAGCCATCGGAATTACTGTGCCTCAGATGATTGACCAAATTCAAGATACTATTATACATATATGCATATCACAAAATATATTACAGCAAGACAACTTTTTCAAAGTAGACGACAGATAGTTAACTTCTATCATAGATAATCTATCACACAATGTACTAGAGTTTTCTTTCCAGCTGTTACATAAAACATTTTCGTCGTTTCATAAAATGCCTAGTTAACAAAGTGTGTCATATAAACTAAAAGCAAGTTGTTGATTTTTCTTGTTAAGTACATAGGTGACAGACATTAAACACACTGACAGAATTATCATCATCAGTACAGATAATGATAAAAAAATCCGCCGGTTTAAAAAAATAACAAACATGTTTACAGAAACGATGAATAAGAAATGGAAGGAAATATTGTTGATATAACACGCCAATAGTATTTGATAACTGAGTAAATGAGAAGTACGGATATTTTTGAGGTCTGCCTGTGTTACAGTAATCTCATCAGTGAACAACTACATAATACATGTTTCGTCATTATATGTACATGCATAATAACACAGCTATACATAAATGTATATATACATCATAAAAATGACCTGATAGCACCAACAGAGGTTGACCCCGGTCTTCCCTCTCGAAACGCTCTCTCATATAGTGATGCGTCAATAGCTGCTACTATGTAAGTTCCACTGTCTACATGCAACCGGGGAAGTACCTCACAAATGTGTGAAAGGGAAAATATGAACATGTAGTCCTAACAACTACACTGGTGGAGAAGCTAGTCTGTCTACACAGCGGAGAGGTGAAAATCCCTGATCACATGGGCTGAAGAATACGAATGGATGGGGAATGGGTGTATGAATCTGTTCTGGTCATCAAAAAATATGTGGAAAAGAAGCTCCATTGGCTTGTGGATCAAACTTCAAATGAAAGACTCGGAAAGGATTGCGCCTCTGTAAAATAACCATTTTTGCTTCAATCCAGGGGCTTCCTAAAAGTATTTCAGCGCTCATACAGTGTAGGATTTCGTATGGCGCATCTATCTATTGGTGCTCATAATCTAACAAGTTCGTGTTTTAATGATAATAATAATAACAGATCGACGTGAAGAACCTACAAGACATGTATTTCGCGAGTGGATGATTTATGTTTGATGTCACACAAAATCGAATACTTACAAGCGAGCGAAAACCGACAAACTGGTCGAAGAAGCAGCTGGCGAAGACAGGACTCCAAGTGAACATAGACAACACGGAGGTTATGAAAATAATCAACCAACAACAACAACAACAGCAGCAACATCCAGCGTCAATCACCATCAACGGGAGGGATTTGAAAGAGGTTACTTCATTCATTCACTTATCTAGCTAGGGAGCATTGTCTCAACTATAGGCAGTCGAAAAGACGAGGATGTCGAATCGAGCGAGAATCGGGAAGGCGACAAACACATTTGTCAATCAACCTGATATCAATCTGGAAATCTTCGTCGCTCAGCCAGAATCAACAACAAAATTCCGTAGGATTTTCAATACAAACGTCAAGTCAGTTAGCTCTTTTATACGGATCGGATGAAAAACTTGGAGGGCGGGCGGATCTCAAAAAATATTTCCAACAGCCTGTTGCAGACCTTCATCAACAACTAACTGTCTTCGCTGGCTCTATACTGAATATCAGATGGCTGGGTCGGAAAAAATCACCAACAAGAAACTATGGGAACAAACAAAACAAAACAAAAACCAATCGCCAACCAACAAATATCCACGAGGAAGTGGAAATGGATTGGACACTTGTGGCTGAAGAGGCCGGTGAGTGACATCGCGCGCACCTCAGACCATTGGTTGAGTGGAACCAGGCCGAAAGGGAAGCGGCGAGTGAGTCGTCGGTGCACGGGTGACATGGAGGAGATGGTGTGAAGAGGAGTTGAAAGACTATGGACTAACATGGATTCAGGTGAAAAATACAGCAGAAGGCAGACAGAAGCAAGTGGAGATGTGCAGTTGAAGCCTTATGTTCCACTAGGAATCCAACGGAAGAATAATAATAATAGTATTTTTCATAATTAAAGAAAAAAAACAGTTGTTTAACACAATAAGCAAATCAACAAGCAAGAAAATTCAATAAGATTTCATAGCTAGACAACTGGACACAAGTACAACAAACAACACGGATGTTTTTCAATAACGGAAAACAGCAGAGAAAAACAGGCAACCAAACGAAACACACACAGACACACATGTATTATCCACTTACTTGAATTTAAATCAGAATTATTTGCACATTGAATTGAATGAATATCATGATTAAAAAAACGTTTCTTATTCTCTTCATTATCATCAAGTGAAATCATTGCTAATGCATCAGTGATATGACCACCAGCAACAGCAGCAGAGGATGATGATGATGAAGAAGGCGCACCTTCAGTTTTCTCCTTATTATTAGTCAAACGATTTTGATCAATAAATATCACTTTATCTTGTTTTGTACAATTACTTGATGAAGTAATATTATCAATATTATTATTATTATGATGATGATTAATAGGATATCCAGTTGTATTCATTGTAACATAGGATGATGAGGATATAACACCAGCGCTTTGACAATTCTGTTCAAAATTAGAGCTAGGCGGAATAGAATTCATCATCTGTTTGAATAACATTTGAGGATGATGCAGCTGCTGATGAGGCTGTTGATCCGAGTTCATATTTTCTGTAAATGATGATTCTTTAAAACCACTACCACCAGCATTTATTATTTGTTGATTAATTGAATTCCCTTGAAAATCATGTGATTGAATATCTGTAAATCTATGTGAACCAATAGATTGTTGATGTGGTGGTTGTTGGTGTTGTTGTTGTGATGGTGGTATAAAATTACCAGTTTGTTGTTTCTCTAATTCCATAGCAACTTCTATTAGAAAATAGAAATAATAAGATGAAAATGAAGTGTGTCAAGCGATAAGAAAAAAAGAAGCGTAGAAAAAAATAACCTAACAATATTCCATTTGCTTTTAAGAAATATAAAATAAAGTTATCTATTACTTTTTTTAAATGACGTAAGGACTGTTAGATCAAATGTATAATTGTCAACTGTTAGAGTGATTGTCATTAACCAATATCAGTTAGGAGCGGATGGGGGGGGAAGAAGACCCTTCAAAGAGAAGAACAATGGACGACTGTAGTGTCTTAGTTTCACGAATCTTCAGTACCACGCACCTTAAAGTCGCACAGACAATTAAACCAGGGGACTTCCAAGTTGACTATTTACACCCACTTTGACCTGGGATTCAATGATCCGTTATTTCTAACTTAATGAATTTCTTCTAAACACACAGGTTTGGCTTCTTCAGATGGATTCCTGTTGCTTCAGCTGTGTGTATGAGACGAACTCGTACAGCGAAAAAAACCAAGATTGGTAGGAATGCGATAAACAACTTTAAATGCTATTGCATAGATCCGGTATATGGCGATGGCTATTAAGAAACCTCAATTAGTGAAAACATTGAGAGATTTTTCCCAACATTCCTAGTAAGTAATTTAAGTTTCCTAAACATGGGTTTATCTGTCTCTTTTCGACATAGAACTTTGCACATATGTGCAACACTTCAAGTCACCACACTCCCTCCTAGTAGCACACAAAACAAGACAAGAAAGTAGAAGAAATGCATAATAGAGACAGTAAACAGAGGTAAGAGACAAGGGAATGGTAATAACGAAGAACAATATAGTATCATTCGAAATCATAAGTCACAGGGAGTGGATGCATCTCCACCAGCCATTGACAACGATTTTGAGCCATATCACCGATTATCCCCAACCATTGGTTTTTACCGTCCCGAGGAAACCCAACCAAGGAGCCTGTCTACATCTTCCTACATGACTGACTAGCTGGAACTAACTGTTGTGGATTTCATTGACTGGTCCCATGTTATGGTTTGACCGCCGCTAGCTCTTTTCCAGCCTGACCGTATGTCAACTAACATTGGCCGTCAAGGAAGGCGATGACTAGGCATACCTAACATGTATCCTAATTATCTTAGTCGATGTAATTTCACACCCTCGTTGATTGATTTCCCCTGTTTATCTAGCACTCGACCGATGCCTAACCTCAATATTCTTCACCTTATTATACCACTTCACACGGGAGGTAGAGTGCAGTCACCTATGATCGAAGACAGCTAATCTTTTCATGTCTTCCACTCTCAACATGAATGCAGAGATCTAAAACAATTCCACTCCACTCTCTATTACTTATAGTTATGATACACGTTTGAAGGATTCAACAAAAAAACAACTGATGACACATGACCACTATCACATCAAGTAACGACTCAATTCTAAAACCTGTTCATTTACATTAAAAGGAGATGGCATGAGTTAAAGAATCATTGGAAAACCCATACTTGATAATAATTCTAATGCTCATTAACGACTTGTTCCAAAAACAAGAAGTCATCATGACCAGCTGAATACACTAAGTCAAGTAAGAGACCAGTTACTCGCCAATGACACTGGCTGGCTGTTGAACCATAATGATGAGAACCAACAGAAGTTAGAATTCATCAAACATTGGTTTAGGTCTCAATGGGAGGTTGGTCTACAAGATCACCGTGTAACTGGAAGGTTCAGGGAATGCGAACTGACGAAGAGTACCAGACTAGGACAAAATAACAGCTATCAAGCACATTAATCCCTGCTGATTTTCCAATAGTTAGCTCTTTAAATGATATCGACTGGCGATCAAAGATGTAACCAATCAAATCAATACATGATAACTCTGCTTTCATTATCACAAGGGGAATTATGAAAAGAAAAACGATTTAAAGCCTGGGCTAATTAGAAAATACTTTGAATACAACTGTGGAAATATATTGTATATATATATTGAAGTTTACTCTCGGAAAAGAGCTAGCGTCACCAGTCAATTAAATCTACAACAGTTCGTTTAAGCCAGTCATGTAGGAAGGTGTGTAGACTAGCTGGTTGGGTTTCCTCGGGACGGTAAAAACCAGTGGATGGAGACAGTTAATGATATGGTTCAAAATCGTTCTCAATGGCTGGTACAGATGCATCCACTCCCTGTGACTTATGATTTCCAATGATACTGTATTGTTTCTTCGTTTTTACCATTTCCTTGTCTCACACCTCTGTTTACTGTCTCTGTCCGATATCCACGCTGAAAATTCCACACTTGTACCAAAAATACGGTGTGGAATCAAGCTGTAACCAAAAAAATTTTAAAAAAATTATATGCATTTCTTCTACTTTTTTGTCTTGCTTTGTGTACTACTAGGAGGGAGTGTGGTGACTTGAAGTGGTGCACATATGTGCAAAGTTCTATGTCGAAAACAGACAGACAGACTCTAAAAATAAGGTCAATCAGATATCATAAAATTAATTATTAGACCATATCACCCACCAATTAATCGTATAACTGTGTTGTGTGTTAGATAGTGCATTCAAAAGTGAACAAAATAAATATTAAATTCGAATGTCAAAATTAGATAAATATTATATACATATCTTTACAGCCGGTGGTGGTTGTTAGAAGAATAGAATTACTTTCAACGCCTTCATAATTTGGTTAAATTATTAAGTTATATAAATTTGAAAATAAACCAAACGGAAAAGAAAATAAAGATAGTAAATACGACGATATGAACGAAGAATACACTTGATGACACCCTCTGGAGTTATAAATACATGCATACATAGGAGAGCTAAATATGTGAAGCTACACACTTACGCGAATGATTCAATGATCCACAATGAGTAAGAAAATGTTATGTGTAGATAAAAATATTGTAATTTTATAGGAATGAAATGAGAGAAAACCATTATGATGGTATATTAGGCACACACACACACACGCATACACAAGCACATACTTGTAGGTATACGATGATACTGTTTACCAGAATACAGTAACTTGTAAGACGCCCAATGCACTAAAGAAATAAACATTTATGCATAGGATAAATTTCCCCCCTTGTAATTAATAATTCAATCAATTTATTTTCTACACTTGTAAAAGTGTATACAGTTATTTCTTTTGACTAAACAAAGCAAAAAAAGGATGATATTGTGCAGGATAAAATGAAGCATGTCATCAATAGTAGATTGGTTCTTGTCAGCTGAGTACAATCACAATGATCAATTTAATATTGGTATATTAAAATATATACATACTCAAATACTGTAGACATTGTTGATTGAGGTGATATCACGTGATATAACCTCAATCACATGATTGAACAACATAATGAGAAGGCATAAAAGCCATTGTTAAACTCTTTATTTCGTATAGAAATAATTACAAGAATATTCTAGAATTATGAACGAATGCTACAACTTTTCTATTATTATTATTATTCCCTTGTATTCCTAGTGGAACATAGGGCTTCAACTGCACGTCTCCACTGGCTTCTGTTTTTCTTCTGCTGTACTTTTCACCTGCATCCATGTTACTCCATACTCTTTCAACTCCTCTTCACACCATCTCCTTCATATCACCCTCACACTGACGTCCCACTCGCCGCCTCCTTTTCGGCCTGGTTCCACTCGACCAATGGTCTGAGGCGCGCGCGATGTCACTCATTGGCCCCCTCAGCCACGAGTGTCCAATCCATCTCCACTTTCTCCTGCATATTTGTTGGTTGGCGATTGGTTTTTGTTTTGTTTTGTTTGTTCCCATAGTTTCTTGTTGGTGATTCTTTCTGGCCCGGCCATCTGATCTTCAGTATAGAGCCAGCGAAGACAGTTAGTTGTTGATAAAGGTTTGCAACAGGCTGTTGGAAATATTCTTTGAGACCCGCCCGCCCTCCAAGTTTCTCATCCGATCCATATAAAAGAGCTAACTGACTTGACGTTTGTATTGAAAATCCAACCGACTGAATTTTGTTGTTGATTCTGGCTGAGTGACGAAGATTTCCAGATTGGTTTCAGGTTGATTGACAAATGTGTTTCTCACTTTCCCATTTTTCACTCGCTAGTTTTCTAGTCAATCCTAAGCCCGGGTAAAGAGGGAAGGTTGGGGCGTGATGCTAGCAACTCCACTCCTAAAACTTAATCAAATAGAAACTTCAACGCATATATATATATTCTAATTTTTATTCTTTTATGTTCCCGGTGAAACATAGGGCTTCAATCTGGAGCCTGGCAGATTCTGTAGCAGTGGTGTTTACTTTTACGGGATGGGGTTGCTAGCCTCATGCCCAACCTTCCCTCTTTACCAGTCTTAATACTGGCTTAGCTAGGTAAATGAGTGTGTCGACCAGAGATCGGACCACCTGCGTGGTCGGCGAGCATTCTACCGATGTGCCACCGACACACACACACACACACACACACACACTACATATATATAGACAAAATTAGGTTTGGGAGCTTTTACATTGTTAAAACATAATATAACTAAGATGACAAAATTAACAACAATAATAACAGTTAAACAAGGTAAAAGATATTTACTAAGTTGAAGCAAGATGAACAGCGATTCCCTTTCTAGTTGCATAAATTTAGTTTCAGCTGTTCACTTACAACTTCTTCAGGTGATATATTGGAATCTGGAGCTGTCTTGGACTATAATTATCTTGAAGGATTTTGATACATCAATTTCATAATCACTGTCTAACAACACGTGGCGAGCTGTCACACCACTACAAAGCAATTTTGCACCTTTCCTGATGCACATTTCTGGGAATATGATCAGATATACATGCGGCCATAATTCCTTGTTTCTACATGTCTAACCTGTTTGATTTGGCAGGTATATATGAATTGGCGTATGCACATGGAAGTAACATGAAAGGAGGACTTGTCAACCTTAAATTGTGTCAGTGAGCACTTGATTCGGTAATCTGTGACTTGTTTGATAGTGTGATAAGTTTGCTTCAAGGCAGGTAGGATTTCTTCTATATTTAATTCCTCCAAATGCATCTTCATTCTTGAATTCAACGATTAAAGAAAACTGGAATTCTTTCCTATTATATCAAATTTTCATGAATTCGTTTGTAGGGAATCTATTTGTTTAAGGTTAGAACACTGATTAAAATTCGATTATAGAGCACCAATAAAAACCAGGGAGTACTGGACAGCTGTTTCATCCTAGTTTGGGAATCATCGGCAGTACGCAACCAGTGGGCTTCGAACCTACGGCCTTTCAGTTACAAGACAAGCTGGCTTGTATACCATTCATCCACTGAGACCCGACTCAATGGTCAACCTATGAATTCTACCAATTCGAGATATCATATTGGATTAGTTTGCGCTTCAGGTCATATAGAACTGTGTTACACGAACTACTATCAGTTAACTCTTTATTTGAAGATTCTGGACGAGGAGAAACTATTATGCAACAAACTTCGCTATAAATTTCTGTACATTATAAAAACAAGTATATATATATATATATATATATATATATGTACTTGTAATTTATGGGAATGACAAAGCATCTCCTTTAACACAATGTAAAATATAACACTGTGGTTTAGAATGAGACCGAAAAAAGAATATTTTACACACTAGCAACGAGAGGGGTTTTGTGATACACCACACATGACACAATGTTATGTTCGAACTTAGTGAGTACAGAATACAAAAACAAATAAAGATGTGGATGATTAGCTTGGGTAGTGGGTTTTAAGACGATAGGTTACGCGTTCGAGTCCTGCTTCACAATACTTCAACACATAGACGACTAGATAGTATTATGACGTGTGCCACATAGATGCAGATTGGGTAAGGAAGCGATTAAAAATGAAATCAACTCTTTAAGTCAATAGCTGCAGAGGCAGATATGTTAATTCCTCAAATCTGGATTTAGTTTACTATGTAGACATGAAATAACCTCATTGGACAACGATTTGTCTTCCATTGTTTAACACTGGGCCAATTGCCAAGCAATCAAAACAGCTTATTGCCCGTTTGACCTTGTCGACTGTTAAAATGGGTTAAAAATGTCTAAATATGATGTTTTTCCATTCCTAGTTCTCCTCTTAGCATCTTTAGCCATATCAGTATCAACAGCCCTGGGGGACATACAAAAGATTTGCTCCATGTAGCTAAGCTCAAACAAGGGGATAAAACTAAAGATTTAACGGCTCTTTCAAAGGGATACTGGGGAAAAACAGTGCCAGTAGCTCTAAATTGTGAAGTATTAGATAAATTCTTTACAATTTAGTGTATAAATGAGATGGTTACATAAGAACTCAGTAATCACAAACACATATTATTTAAACAATGATAACAATTCAGAGTAAGCTTTGCTTTCAGCTTGTATAGATTACAGAATGAAGAACTCTAACAAGAATTGATAATATAACTAACATTTATAGTGACTAAGTGTCTCTAAAGAAACAGAGACAAACGATTATGGCTCACAAAATAAATTCCCCTTCCTTTAACATTCAAGACGAGGTGGCGTTGTATCGATTGCTACTGGTAAGATTTATCCGTAGTATATAAAGAGACATTCATCGACATAAAAACATCAAATAGCAGGGAGATACATCTGATTTCAGAGAAGGCAAATGATACAGCGTCGTGAGGATACATTGGAGACGTGAAAGGAATCCAAAGAAACACAACATAAAGTCCAGAAGTACCACAACACGAAGATCTGTACAAATGGTAGGTTGAACATAAGGTAAACATAATTTAGCTATTTTTTTTTCATACTCCTTCACGTTCCCAGTGGAATATAGGGCTTCAAGATAGAGGCTTGAAGTTTTTGTAGCAGTGGTGATCTTTTTTACAGGATAGGGTTGCTAGCCTCATGCCCAACCTACCCTCTTTACCAGTCTTATTACTTGCTTAGGGAGGTTAAGGAGTACGTCAGCTGGTGATCGAACCCCGGACCATTTGCATGGCCTGGTAGCCTCCTAACCGCTCTACCATCGACGCACAAACCTAGCTACCTGGAGATACCAATTTCGAAATAAACATTCCTTTAACGTCACAGACAAAAACTGGCAAACTACATATACTATGATGAAGACTACCAGTTGTTTTCAATCAAAACTGTTTCAATGATTAAGTGTGTAGAGAATACACTAGACCCACTCACCTGCTTCAATATTCATAGTTGCATACATCTGTTCAAGTTCCGCGTGTATTTCACTGAATGATGGTCGTAAATTTGGATCCCAAGCCCAGCCTAGATGACACACAGAAAATAAGATTGATTAGTATAAAAACACAGCCTCCAAATAACAACAATGTAGGATTAATTCAATGGTTTATAGATACTTCATACAATTATTCCCCTTTATAAATTTGATTGATTAAAGCAAGAACAATGGTTTTTGCAGAATTTAAAATGGTACCATCATCTGAAGGCTCATTCAACTTGATTTTAAAGGTGAAAATATTACATTAATTGTCAAACAGAAGATTGACGACGTTACTAGCCGGAGTCTAGCCTATCCTACAGCTAAGCGGATATTCCCGTCTATCGAACAACTTGCTCTTCGGTGCAGTCAGAAGTCGACAGATATCCTTCTCAAGTCAACTCCAACTGTATTTATAAATTTACACGCAGCTATAGGAGCAGTTATATTGGAAGAACCGAAAGAACATGTGCCAAAATGCCTATGTCTAAAGGGGACAAATGCTTTCAACAGTGCCATCGCTGAGCCTCTCCTTCACACGATTTATGAGGTGGACGTCACAAGATTGTTCAAAATTATCAATAGGCAGAAGAGTTCAGTTCCCCCTAACTTTGCTGAAGCCATCTCCATCGAGCACCTGAAACCTGAATTGTGCTTTCAGAAAGAACCAGTTATCAGTTTTTCTTTACCCTGGTAACTTAATGTTTTCATCCTCTTTCATTTGATTACGTAACGCCAAAAGATTCCATTATGTATGATGATTATTGTTTGGGATAAAGTAGTTATTATTATTAATATTACTAGCACTGTATGCATATATTGATTGAATGATTGACTTTTTGTTTGAAAATGAGCTACATTGAAATTGTTTCTGTAGATAAACATAATAACGTCTTTAGGCTGTAAGCAACTGATGAGAAGCCAATGAAATAGACAATGATGATAACATTTTATTCTATAAAAACCACTATTGTTCTTGCTTTATTCAAATTCAAGTTTACAGATAACCTGCTGAGCATTCACACATGCGAGATAACAAAGCCATTTGAAGGTAAAGGTGGTTGTTTTTGAATATGATCAAATGAAAGTCCAAGAACTATTAACACAGAAGTCAGCAAGTTTGTAACTTTACTTAAAAGCTGTACGGTTATTTAGAGGGGCTACGTAACAGAGGTCAAAGTAACAATATTTAAAAATAAAAAATTATAGAAGGCTGACAGTTGATTGACTACCTAAGTGATGAACAGTCATTTGGCAACAAGACAACAAAAGATCAAAATGGGTTAATAAAACAAAATAAAAAAGGACTGGACTAGTCAATTCAAGTTGTGTCTACCAATTAAACTGCGCTTGTGGAGTGAGTTATAATGGCCGTTGCTCTAGGAACTTGACTTTTCATGCTCCAGAACATATCCCACTATGCCTAAGTAAAGGTGTAGTTAAAACCATTGATAGTTCGATACTGGACCATCTGGTGCAAACCGGCCACCAAGCCAGCCAGCATTGAAGAATCCTTCTATCTCATTTACCAGGTGACTAATTATTATTATTGCTCCCATGGATTCCTAGTGGAACATAGGGCTTCAACTGCACGTCTCCACTGGCTTCTGTCTTCCTTCTGCTGTACTTTTCACCTGCATCCATGTCAGTTAGTCCATACTCTTTCAACTCCTCTTCACACCATCTCCTTCATATCACCCTCACACTGACGTCCCACTCGCCGCTTCCCTTTCGGCCTGGTTCCACTCGAGGGCTTGACGCGCGATGTCACCCGGCGGCCTCCTCAGCCACGAGTGTCCAATCCATCTCCACTTTCTCCTGCATATTTGTTGGTTGGCGATTGCTTCTTGTTTTGTTTGTTTGTGTCCATAGTTTCTTGTTGGTGATTCTTTCCGACCCGGCCATCTGATCTTCAGTATAGAGCCAGCGAAGACAGTTAGTTGTTGATAAAGGTTTGCAACAGGCTGTTGGAAATATTCTTTGTGACCCGCTCGCCCGCCAAGTTTCTGAACCAATCCGTATAAAAGAACTGACTGACGACGTTGTTTGCATTGAAAATTTTGTTGTTGATTCTGGCTGAGTGACGAAGATTTCCAGATTGATTTCAGGTTGATTAATGTGTTTCTCGCCTCCCCGTAGTTGAGACAATGCTGCCTAGATAAGTGAATGAATGAAGTAACCTCTTTCAAATCCCTCCCGTTGATGGTGATTGACGCTGGATGTTGTTGTTGTTGTTGTTGGTTGGTTATTTTCATAACCTCCGTCTTGTCTATGTTTACCTGGAGTCCTGTCTTTGCTACCTGCTTCTTCGACCAGCTTGTCGGTTTCCGCTTGTAAGTCTTCGATTGTGTGTGACATCAAACATAAGTCATCCACGCGCGAAGTCAAGGTCTTCTAGGTTCTTCACGTCAGTCGGTCCAGGATATCCCTGTCTTCTCGTTTCCTACTGTCTGACGCATAATCCAGTCCACCACAATTAGGAATATCATCGTGGGTGATAATAAGCACCCTTGTCTGACTCCTGTATTTACTCCAAACGCCTCACTGAGTTTTCCGTTGTGGATCACTTGACATGTACGGTTGTCGTACAGCTGTTGAATAAGGTTGATGAATATTTGGGGTACGCCGAAGCAGTCGAGTAGTTTTCAAATTACTTTCAATACTTTGGTAACCGTAATTATTCTATTGTGTTTGTTTCTGTTGAGTAACACTTCGTTTAATTTTGATTTGTACTTGCTGAGTTGCACTCAAATTCACTTAACAACAGCTGTTGATTAAGGTTGATGAATATTTGTGGTACGCCATAGTACTCGAGTAATTTCCAAATTAATTCACGATCAACGCTGTCGAAGGCCTTCTCAAAGTCTATAAAGTTGAGGTAGAGGTTTGATTGCCATTCCATGCTTTGCTCGATGATGATGCGTAGAGTTGCATTTTGGTCAGTACATGATTTGCCTTTCCTGAATCCAGCTTGTTCTCGTCGGAGTTCTGTATCCAGTGCGTCCTTTATTCTCTCTAGGATGATGCGACTCAGGATTTTACTTGGCGTCGATAGGAGCATCATTCCTCGCCAGTTCTTGCATAGTCCTAAGTGGCCCTTCTGGTAGTTTCATAGGGTAAGCTTTCTTTCAGTCAGTAAGGATAATATACCTACCGAAAATAGCTAACAAATAGGAAAGTACACGTTACAATATACCACCAGGTGTAAAAATGTTCGAAAAATGTCGAGTACCAAACTACATCGGTTACAGAGTGATAAACATATAGTTGCTACGATGGATACGAAACAGGCGAATGCTAATCAATCAATGAGTCATATATATACATATAGGCTATCGATTTTTGAACAAATGTTTACATCTTTGTGATAACTAAAAGCTTTATCATCAGAACAATGACTAACGCTACTAATATTCGTAAACATACACACACACACACACACCTATAAAACTGTAACCCAACTGAATTCAATATGTTGCCTGTATATTACACTTTGATGTTAATCTGTATTTTTGTCCTACCTAAGGGGTGGTTTCAGTTACTGTTGATTTCGTAAGTTAGTTTATAACTCTCTTTCCATAAAAAAGTGTAATCTTTGTCGCAAGCGAAAAGGGAAGACACTAAAATACATATATAATTCTGTCTGTTTTCAACATAGAACTTTGCACCGATGTGCAGAAGCAGTTCGAGTCGCCACACTTCACTACTCAGTACACAAAGCAACAGAAGAAGAAGAAAGTAAAAAGATATTCAAAACAGAATAGTAATATGGAAGAACAATATAGTCTTATTGGATATTATATGCCACAGGGAGTGGATGCATCTGTACCAGCCGAGGGGAACGATTTTGAGCGATAACATCGATCATCTCCAGGCCACTGGTGTTTACCGTCCCGAGGACCCCAACCAGTCAGTCAGGAAGTCTACACCTCCTACGTGACTGGCTTAAACTAACTGTTGTAGATTTCATTAACTGGTGCCATGTTTTATACTATTGAGCCTAGGACTTTACATAATATATTAGTCAAGGTAATCCCCCTGTGATTATCACAGGAAGACTTGTCTCCCTTCTTGTATATTGCGATAATCAATGGCTTACACCAACGCGATGGGACTCCCTCTGATTACTAGACGCTGCCTAGAACCTCAGTTAACTCAGACAGTAAACTATCTCCACCGTACTTAAATACCTCTGGAGTCATTCCATCAGGTCCCGCTGCTTTGCCTCGTTTCAGACTAGTGACAGCTTCAGTAACTTCAGTTAGGGATGGAGGACCTGTGTCTATATCCCACTCAGGGAGGTGTTGTATGTCCGGTAAGTTGAGTGTGACTGTAGGCTAATTAAACTGCTCCTCATAGTGTTCTTTCCAGAGTTCCAGTCATCCATCCTGGGAGCTAATTATGGTGCCATTTTTCTCCGAGATTGTTTCACTTATCATTCACCTTTTACCATCTGTTTCCATGATAAGCCTAAATAGTTGTTTGATGTTACCAATTAACATACAATGTATAACCAGCAACAACAACAACCACAATAAGCACCAATCACTATCAAAGGAAGAAATTTGACAGAAGTCACTTCTTTCACTTATCTAGGCTGCTGCTTCGTGTCATTACTACACGCGGCACAGGTAATGTTGAAGACAGGATAAAAAAACAGCGAGACTAAAATCAGTGTTGCAATCTACTCTACTTAACCTAAGGACTTTCAACACCAATATTACGCCATTTCTTCCGTTGTATGAGTCAGAGACTTGGTGCGCACATGTCGGCAAAAACATTTCCAACAGCCTGCTAGAAACTTTTATCAACCTCTAATGCCTCCAATGGCTCCTCATACTGAAGATCAGATGGCTAGTAAAAATGGATTAACAACAACAGTTTTGCAACTCTGGCAACAAACGAGCCAAGAAATACGCAGAAGAAAATGGAGGTGAATGGATTCAATATACACAGAGGAGACCGTTAAGTAACACACCATGTGTCACTATCTTTCGTTTGAATACAGACAGTGCATTTTCTCTGTTTCTACACAGTGAGTATGATTAACAACATGAATGTTTATTATTATTTCCTTTAATTCCTAGAGGAACATAGGGCTTCAGCCGCGCATCTCCATTGCCTTCTGTTTTCTGCCAACTGTTTCACCCCGCTCCAAGTCTCCCCGCCAAATGCAAGATGATGTTACAGGACTGGACTACATCGACGCCTAGTTTAAAAATAGGAAGTGAAGTGGTAGAGCACGTTGACCGCTTCACTTATTTGGGAAGTACCATCAGCCAACGCCAACGGGTTGATCTCTGACGAAATCTCAGCACGAATACAAGGGGGCTCGTTTCGCATTTGTTAGTTTACGCCGACTCTGGCGTAGACGAGATGTTCGACTATCGACCAAAGGACGGGTGTACTGCTCATCAGTCCGCTCCGTCCACCTTTATGGTTGTGAGACCTGGCCACTGAGAGTGGAAGGCATGAAAAGACTGACTAGCTGTCTTTGATCATAGGTGCCTGCGTTCTATTTCCCGTGTAAAGTGGCATAATAAGGTGAGCAACACTGAGGTTAGGCGTCGAGTTCTAGGTAAACAGGGGAAATCAATCGACGAAGTCGTGAAGTTAAAAAGACTGAGATGGTTAGGACATGTGTTAGGTATGCCAAGCCATCGCCTCCCTCGTCGAGCAATGTTGGCGGATATAGGGTCAGACTGGAAAAAAGCTAGTGGCGGTCAAACAAAAACTTGGCATCAGTCAATGAAATCCACAACAGTTGGTCTAAGCCACGTAGGAAGGTGTAGACTTCCTGACTGACTGGCTGGGGTCCTCGGGACGGTAAAAATCTATGGTTGGAAACAATTGGTGACATGGCTCAAAATCGTTCTCAATGCCTGGTGCAGATGCATCCACTCCTTGTGACTTATGATCTCCAATGAAACTGTTTTGTTTTTCTTTATTACTCCTTTGTCTCACACCTCTGCTCACTGTTTCTATTATGCTTTTCTTGTACTTTCTTCTCTTGCTTCGCGTGCTACACGGAGTGTGGCGACTTGAACTTCCGCACATTTGTGCAAAGTTCTATGTCGAAAGCAGACAGACAGACAAGTCTCCCCACATGCTTTCATCTCCTCTTCACATAACCTCCTCCAAGTCACCCCTCTCTTGCACTGACTTCCAACTCGCCGCTTCCCTTTCGGGTTCCACTCGAGCAATGGCTTGTTTAGTGATATCACTTGATGGTTTTCTCAGAGTATGACCAGCCAATCCATCTCCACTTCTTCCTGCAGATTTGTTGCACAATCGGTTCCTGGTTGGTTCGCTCACTGCCAGAGATTCCTATTGCTGATCTTTTCTGGTCGGCCATCTGATCTTGAGTGGTATTGAGCGAAGACAACTGTAATTGAAGGTCTGTAGTTTGTTTGATGTGCTCTTTATGACGCGCCAAGTCTGTGATCCATATAGTGAGTAGCACTGGCTTCACATTGGAGTTGAAAATCCGGATCTTATTTTTGAAAAGCAACAAGTTGGCAGAAGCATTCAGAGAAGTTAGGACTTCAGGTGAACATTGAGAAGATAGAGGTGATGAAGATTCCTGGACAACAGACAACAATCAGCCAGTATAAGTGGGAGGAACCTGAAAGACACAACCTCCTTTACCTACCTACCTGGGAAGCATCGTTTCAACTACAGGCGGAACTGACGAGGATATCAAAGCAAGAATCGAGAAAACAAGACAAGCTTTCATTACTCTCAACTCTGCGTGGAGGTCAACAGCACTCAGCATCAAAAATAAGATCCGGATTTTCAATTCCAATGTGAATGTTGTTTAAATAACATCGAATCAATAATAATAATAATAATAACCTCAGTGGATTTTATGAAAAGTCGACTAATGATCAGACGAAAAAATGAAGTATAGGTAACAATCTCTAGTTTAACCGACCGAACCATTTATTTGATCAGAATATACGTACACTTGATTCATTCACCCCCAACTATATAAAATACACTGAAGCGGTATTGAATGGTTAAACACAAGATAAAGTAAACAATTATGCAACTCGTTTTATGAAGGCAGGATACAACTAGGACGTAATTTACCTCATACTGATGATGAATCTTGGAGGGGAGGGGGAGAAAGAAAAAGTCAATGTGGTCGAACTGTGCTCATTTAAACGGTTGGAGACAATTTCATGCTTGTTGACAATCACTACACAAAGAGGTATATTTGATATCTTGAAGGAATTCACTTCCCTCGAATTTGAATCTCAGAAGGGACATGAGTACCTTCAACATTGTAGATACGCCCTGGTGAGTGCCAACAAGCATGAAATCCAGGTGAGGCAAGGCTTCCTTTAGTTAATTGTCTCCAACCATTGAAGGTGAAATCCAAAGTGCACCATAATGGCTAGATGTCTATCTAGCTACAATGGCTGCACTGATAACCTGAATGATAGAATTCAGACGCATGACCTTACCTACAACCGAGCGATGCTGGGGACATCACTCGTACCAAATTCCCATGAAACTCCATGAACTCTCTTACAAATTGCCGCGCCTGGGCGGCGATGATTCGAGACGTTCATGAAGCCGGCTCATCCTCCCGTAGGAGATAGCCGAAGTAAAGTAAAGTAAGTAAGTACCTACAACCTAGTATCCAATCAAAGTATTCGTACTATCAAATAAATTTTAGATCATAGGATTTGTCGGGATTTTGGATTAGTTTGTATTGTTATATTTTCGTTGCAAACCTAACAACAGTTAAAGAGATCATTAAAAACAAAGGAGCACTGGGCAGTTGTTTGATACTATTTAAAGGCTTTTCAACAGAGAGCGTCCATAATCCCACCAGGGATCGAACCTGAGACCTTCAAGTTGCGAGGCCAAGCTCACAGATAGGAATTAAATGGACCCATGAATTCTAACTTGATGAACTCGTGATATAGCACTACTTCCACGTTGACATAGTGTGTTGGAGAGGAGCCAACTGGTGAAAACTCACTACAGTCGCAAGGAAATCCATACACTAGCCAGCACTAAGCTGGTTATTTTAGACAAAAGTTTAGTATTCATCTTCTTCTAGAGAATAAATAATGTAAAATCTAAAGACAATGAACAAAAACAAATATACAGGTACTTTACCAAAAAAAAGAGAATTGGTCGATGATGACGAAGTTTGTGAAAAAGGCTCAATTTTTTATGAGAAGAAGAAGAAAAGAAACTAATAACAATATCAGAAGAGGTGAATGATACTCATATAACAAACAGCACTTACATCTTAGCATAATAGAATAGACTGCTTCTGGACATCCATGTGGTCGTTCCATTCTGTAGCCTTTTTCTAAAAGATGATAAACATCGTGCAGTTCAACTCCTGGATAAGGCGAAAGACCATATGTAGCAAGTTCCCAGAGAACAACACCAAAAGCCCATACATCAGATCTAGAATGGTAGAGAAGAAACATAATAGAAGCATAATATACATTTACTTCTTTAGAGAAACACTGTACACCTACCTAGCTTAGAAAACAATAATATCTGTCAATGATAATGAGAAATTTTCAACCAGTTAAGCCAACTATGAAATTTTCTTAAAAAAGAATATACTATCGTATTAAGAGCGAGTTGTACCGGCGATTAAATTGTAGAATGCTCGCCAGTTACGCGGTATATCCAAATTTTATTTCTGACCAATACACTTAGGAAGCTTATCTAATTTACTAACCGTTGTCTGTCTGTTTTCCACATAGAACTTTGCACATATGTGCACCAGTTCAAGTCACCATACTCCCTCCTTGTAGCACACAAACCAAGAGAAGAAAGCAGAAGAAATGCATAACATAGACAGTAAACAGAGGTGTGAGACAAAGGAATAGTAATAACGAAGAACAATATAGTTTCATTTGAAATCATAAGTCACAAGGAGTGGATGCATCTGAGCCAACCATTGAGAGCGAGGATTTTGAGCCATGTCACCAATTGTTTCCAACCCATCATTGGTTTTTACCGTCCTGAGGACTCCAACCAGGAAGCTTGTGTACACCTCCCTATGTGACTGGCTGGCTTAAACTAACTGTTGTGGATTTCATTGACTGGTGCCTTGTTTTGGTTTGACCGCCGCTAGCTCTTTTCCAGCCTGGCCCTGTGTCAGCTAACACTGCTAGTCGGTCGAGGAGGGCAATCGATGGCTCGGCATTTAGGCGTAACACATGTCATAACCATCTCAGTCGATGTAGCTTCACAGCCTCGTCGATTGATTTGCCCTCCTTACCTTGCGCTCGACGCCTAACCTTAACATAAGCGGGCAATGTGCTCTACCACTTCACTCCCTATTTCTAAACTGGGAGTCAGTGTAGTCCAACTCTGTAGCCTCATCATCTTACATTTGGAGGGAGTGAATCACATACCATACTAACTGTTACTAAGTCCGGAAAGGAGGGAGAAGAGTTAGGCGTGAAGATAACATCCCCGCCGCGTAAGAAAAAACAACACCATCATTCCTAAACTTTAAAGCTTCAATGCCTATACTCTGATCAGAAAGCAAAGGGACAGAAAAAAGATAATCAGTAGTGATCAAGACACTCTTATTCAATGAACATGTCAACCACTGACCACGATAATACATACATACAGTATTTAGCAAAGTTATGTGCCACTTTGAAGCAAACATTTACTAATCTCATTTCCATATAAGAAAGTAAGGTCTGATTGTATTTGAGAAACTCCGACAGAGACGGCAACACAACTTCGTTTTGACCACCGTAAAATATTTTTTTAAGCTGATAGACAATATAAAGGAGGGGCGCTTAGTTCCATTGATTTAAAACGATAGCTTTTAGCACTGTATCAACTGAAGGAGTGGACTATATTCTTAAATTGATAATTAGGTACAGATTCATATCAGATAGTTTATCCAAGCTTACTTCACATTCATGTATATTCTGCATGCATGGCGTACGAATGGACTGGTGAGTCTCCGTGTTCAAGAACACTTGTACAACGGGTTTAGAAAATCGTATTCAGTAAAAACTATATTCGAGCACAACTAGTAGGCACAGGGCATCAAGTAGACTTCACACTATAGTGTTTATTCTGATATGCCCGATACCAAAAACTTTGTGACTTACAGAATGCCGACATATTCTTCACATAGCTGAAGGTGTGACAACAGATCAGAACTGTGTATTCACAAGGAGCCCATTCAGGAGTTAGTCCTCCTTCAAACTGTTTCAATTACAAACTACCCTTTCATTAATAAGTTTCTCTTCCTTTTGGTCTTTTCTCCCTATTTTTTCTTCAACCAGTTTTAACCACAATAATCTATAACTTATATGATTTCACTTCAAAGTACATTAAAAATTGACATTAGTGAGAGGACAACCAGAAACCAGGGAGTACTGGAAAAATATTCCCTCCTAGTTTGAGACCGTTCAGCAGTAGGCACCACGATGCCACACCAAGGGTGGAACCCAGAGGCTTCAATTTACGAGGTCAACCACTAACCATTCATTCACCAGGACGGAACCCAATTATCGACTAATTCTAACTACAACCAATTCAGGATACATAGTGCAGCCACCAGTCACTGTCACAAGCGAGAATTTGCGATCACACCCGATTCCGTGGACCCCACTAATCATCACGACTTCTCTCAACTAGAATTCCCGACAACTTCTGACTGACTGGCTTCAACATAGAACTTTGCACCGATATGCAGAAGCAGTTCGAGTCGCCACACTTCACTACTCAGCACACAAAGCAACAGAAGAAGAAGAAAGTAAAAAGATATTCAAAACAGACATAGTAAACAGAAATATGAAGCAAACAGAATAGTAATATGGAAGAACAATATACTTTTATTGGATACATCTGCACCATTGAGAACGATTTTGAACCATAATATCGATTATCTCCAGCCTTCATTGGTTTTTACCGTCCCGAGGACCCCGACCAGTCAGTCAGAAAGTCTACACCTTCCTACGTGACTGACTACCTTAAACTAACTGTTGTGGATTTCATTGGCTGATACCATGTTTTCCTCTGACTCAGCAACTTCATCCCAGCAGTAAATCACTAGAGAGCATGAGATTAATTTTCACGTGTTCGTCTGAAAGGATTTGAGTGTGCTAGGAGCGTACTACTGAACAGCCCCAAACTAGGGAGAAATGGATGCCCAAGACTCCATGATTTCTAACGGTCCCCTGATTGATCCAACTTGAAAACTATTTTTTCACTGCAATAATCTTTACACATTTCCTCGGATTTTCCCACTATATACAGACTGTTATCGAAAGCCTGTCTATCATGACTTACTCTCACTGTTATTATTACTCATTATTGTATGATTCCCTCTCATCCATTTTACATTATTTGATTATTTCATGAATTATTCACTGTAGTTTTATTACTATATTATTTTTCTTATGGCATTCTGTTTGTGTATAAACGATTTATCAAGCATATTCCACAAATGATTAATTCCCCTTCTCTGCATTATGTGAATTTATTATGACTAATCACCATCCATTTGACACTAATTGTGTTATTGTTATTATTTAAACTCATCAACAAATACAATTCATCCTGCTACCTTATGATATGGAAATGGTTGGAATCTAAGCTGACACAATTATTATAATTATTATTTCCTTTAATTCCAAGAGGAACATAGAGCTTCAGCCGCGCGTCTCCATTGCCTTCGGTTCTCTGCTACAGTTTTCACCTGACTCCAAGTCTGCCCACATGCTTTCGTTTCCTCTTCACATGACATCCTCCAAGTCACCCCTACCTTGCACTGACTCCCAACTCGCCGCTTCCCTTTCGGGTTCCACTCGAGCAATGGCTTGTCTAGTGATATCACTTGATGGTTTTCTCAGAGTATGGCCAGCCAATCCATCTCCACTTCTTCCTGCCCATTTGTTTCGCAATCGGTTCCTGGTTGGTTCGCTCACTGCCAGAGATCCCTATTGCTGATCTTTTCTGATCTTGAGTGGTATTGAGCGAAAACAGCTGTTAATGAAGGTCTGTAGTTTGTTTGATGTGCTCTTTAAGACGTGCACTGCAAGTTTCTGATCCGTATAGTGAGTAGCACTGACTTCCCATTGGACACAATTACGTCAACAAATCATCACATAAAAGAAGTCAACTTGCTAAGAACAACTACTAGTGACTGACTTACAAGCCCCTTCAGTGCATACCATTTTCTACTGTGTAAGTCAGTGACTCATTTGCAGAATGCTCATCAACCCCACTCTAGTGTCATCCGGCGTTCGACACACTCTTGAAACCTCAACTCGGCTGGTGAGTAAGCTCAGCAAAGAGGAAAGATTGGAAATGAGGCCGTATAAAAGACTAAAACCAATACCAGCGAAACTTCAAAGTTCAAGCTTCGAATCCTACATTCCACTGTGAAGACAAAGGAACAAAATTAAATAAACATTATCTACTGTACATTTGTCTACAAAAAAAATGATTACAGGCTATCAGATTCCATCTAGCTAAAAGCCTTGAGAGTTCCAAGCATCGTCATACCCAGTTGATAATAAATAATACCAAACCATATAATGCGTCGGTGGCACAGCGGTTAGGACGCTCGCCGACCATGCACATGGTCCGGGGTTCGATCCCCGGCCACGGACGCATTCCTTTACCTCGCTAAGCCAGAAATAATTCTGGTGAAGAGGAAAGGTTGGGCATGGGGCTAGCAACCCTATCCTGTAAAAATAAACACTGCTACAGAAACTTCAAGCCTCTAGCTTCAGGCCCTATGTTCCACTGGGAACGTGAAGGAATAAAAAAACCATATCATGAATACATATCCATGAATTGCTTATTTCTATTGTACTTGTGGTAAATAGATTATAGATTACGCGAACTGTTTCCCAACCATGTATATGGTAGTTAAGAAATAATCAATAGGCATAAATGGCAAAATAGTACATATGCATAACGGAAAGTTCCTTCTATAATGCCTAACATTCTTACTTACGTAATCCCAAAGTGTACTATGGGTACTTTACTTTTAGTTGGAATGATTGATGCTAAACAGAATGAAAATATCCATGCATGCACACACACACACCACTATCGTACAATAATCAACTAGTAAAAAAGGGAAAGCATGTAGGCAGAAAGTTCAAAAAATTATTGCAACAACATGGACATATATTTTCTTTTTTAATTTTATTTTTATTATGAGTATTATTTTTCTTATTACGTCACAGAAGATTCATCACTTTTAATTTTTAAAATTCAATCAGAATTAAAGTAAACCTTTTTGTTTAAGCAGATAATACTCTAGAGACAAAATATAAGCTGTCTTCGATCATAAGGGCCTGCGTTTTTAGTCTTCCGTGTGAAGCGGTATAATAAGGTGAGCAATACTGAGGTTAGGCTTCGGTCGAGTGCTAGGTAAGGGCGGGGGGAGAGTGGGAATCAATCGA